TTATATAATAGCTTGAAAATTAAAAATAAGTTTAAACTAGAATAAGAATGGAACAAAATGTTCCTCCTCAGAGAAAGAATGTCACTTGTAAATCCTTAATAAAACAGTATGAGGCAAGCTAAGAAACATTATGAATCTGATATGGGTGTGGGAAAAGCCAACACAGTGCTAGTCTGCATTAACGGAGGGAAAGATCACATGAAGTATTAACACCACTTTACAATGCCTTGGTAAGGCCACACTTGGGATACTGCATCCAGTTTTGGTCACCATGATGTAAAAAAGATGTTGAGATGCTAGAAAGAGTACAGAGAAGAGCAACAAAGATGATTAGGGGCTGGAGGCTAAAACATATAAGGGATAGTTGGTGGAATTGGGTATGTCTAGTTTAATGAAGAGAAGGATGAGGGATGACATAACAGCAGAGTTCCAATATCTCAGGGGTTGCCACAAAGAAGAGGGAGTCAAGCTCTTCTCCAAAGCATCTGAAGGCAAGACAAGAAGCAACAGATGGAAACTAACCAAAGATAGAAGCAACCTAGAACTAAGGAATTTCCTGACAGTGAAAACAATTGATCAGTGGAACAACCTGCCTCCAGAAGTTGTGAATGCTCCAACACTGGAGGCTTTAAAGAAGAGATTGAACAATCATTTCTCTGAAATGCTATAGGGTTTCCTACTAGAGCAGAGGGTTGGACTAGAAGATCTCCAAGATCCCTTCCAACTCTGTTATTCTGTTAAAGTGGGGGACTTTATTGTGTTATAAAACTTTCACTCATAGGAGTGTAAAAGCTGTAAATTTAGATGATGTCAGCATTGAGATTTCTACTGCGGACTGAATGTCCTATTAGATTATATCTTCTCTTCCACAATGTATAATAGTAATCAATTAAGTCAATTCCATCAACCCATAGCGTAATCTTGAACTGACTTACACTTCATGGAGACACATTTCCAGAACATTATGCTATCAGGACTCCATTGTCAGTTCTAGAATGGCTAACTAAATGTTATCAAAGACAGTGCACACTAAGAACCGCATATAAAGACATCTCATAAGAAACCAAAACAATTATGGCTGAGCTCTGTCAAAAAGAAAAAAAAGAGCCACCAGCAGAAGAAGATTGGATATTCCTCAAACTGAGACTTTAATTATGGTGAAACTTCAGAATGGAAAGCCTTTAAAATATATGTTGTAGCCACTAGTTAATCTCACCCAAATATAATACATCCCATATAATCATTATATATTACAAAGCAAGATTTTGGATTTACTAGGATTAAGACAAGTGTTATTCGCACTCACACAAACACACTCAATACATCACACCAATTTCTTGTTATCAGTTTCTCACAATTTTAAAACGTCCTCCTGAAAATAGCTGATTATAGCTACCTAATAGGTAGATAACTATATGTTAAGCTAATTATATTTAATATAGGTGCAACAGAATTTGTACCAAATATAGTGATTTATATATGAAAGGAACCTGGCATGAACCTATGAACCCAGTCTAGTAATGCCATCTAAATTCTCCATTATGCCATGATTTGATGTAATGTGACTAATTGGCATTATGCAAAAATGGCTTCTGGCTACCCAATTTTTGGTAAGGGGATTCCGGGGGTAAAAATGGGAATAGATCTTGCCCAAACTCGCAGTGGCCACCTCACCATGAGACAACGTACCGCAGGACAATTCAATAAATACAAAACTTAAAGTAATTTCAATATTATTTCATGGCCAATAATAATGAAGCAAAGTCAATACAAAAATGCAAGAGTTACAATATTTTTGATGAAAGCGTGGTCACCAATAGTAAAAGTAACTGAATGAAATGATTAACACAGCACTGAGTTGTCATGCAGCGAGTTGTCCCATGGTCACAGTGAGTTGGCCATGGCGAGTTGTCCCATTAAATGTGGTGAGTTGCCCATGACAAGTTGTTGTAGCAAGTTGGAAACAACAATGGGGCTAGCCAAATTTCTGAAGACAGAACTTGGAAATGCTTATTTTCTATTTTTGTCCTGAACGTCATGTCCAAAATAAGATCTTAATGATTTTCCATGCATTCTATATTCACAGTTGCAAGATAACAGAACTCTTATATTTCCAAAAAAAAAAAAACCTACATTCCTCCTTTTGAAAAATCAGCATCCTTATTTTGTTCCCTTATTATTCTGTATTAGTTCAGGAAATGCCTTCTTAAGATATAATTTGCTAAGTCTTGGCATTTACCAGATCTTGATTGCTTCTTCGGAGTGTCCAGTGAAGTGTTGAGTGGTTCTTATATTTGAAGTACAGACATTTAAATTCATGCATGTAAAATTAAGGCACAGGGCAGCATGCTTAGTCTACTTCTCACAGTGCAATTTTGAGACAACCTTCTAATTGCATCCAGCCATAATAACAAACCTTTTTAGCAGAGACCCACGTAGCTTCTCCTTCAACATAGCCATAAAGAAGGGCTGGGAAACTTGCACTTCCTATTTAGACAAACTACTATTCATTGCATCATCCGAACTTGAGAAACTGTCATTAAACTTAACCGCACTCTGCTTGAAACAAACTAATATCCAAAGTATTGAAATGATCTTCTTTATCTCTTCTGTCTATGTCCTTTGTAAGCCTCCCAGAGTTGGCTGGACTATCAAAATCAACTCAATAAATAAAACCGTAAGTTATGAAGCTGGCATATTTAAGCAATCTTTAATCACAATTAAAATGACAGGCTCAAATGGCACGTTATTCATAATTAGTGAAAAGTTACTTTTTTCTCTTGGTCCTCACCATAGCAGAAAGAAAAGATGAAAATTAAACCAAGGCTATTATAACATTTAATTTGCAAATTAAATTAAGGCCATTATATCATATTAAGAGGTTTTTTTAGTCAGTTCTTGACAAAACAGCACTTACAAATGGAAGAGATTAAATAAGTACAGATTTCAAAATATAATGCTGGGCAAGAATGAAAGAGAATCCTTGTTATGAAAATCAATAGCATTTTTTTTATATTGCTTTTACCATTGTACCTGAATGTCCAGGTTGAACTGAGCAGATATCAGTTTAGAAATGACCAACGACCCAAGGGGTCAAGGTCAAGATATATATATATATATATATATATATATATATATATATATATATATATATATATATATATATATATAAAGAGCTAGGTATATCCACTGAGCCATGCTTGATGTTTTTAATATTTCTAACATTCTAATTGTTTTATATTTTTTATGACTTTGTAAGCCAACAAGTGTCACTTGATAGCAGAATGGCCAGCCTATACATTTGATAAATAAATTAAATAAATATTTTTTAAAAAAAATCCTCTTGCCTTATCAATTTCCCACCTCAAGCAGGAGGTTGTCTGAACCATTTGACTGAAATGGTACAGGATCTCCTGCTCAAGAACCTCCAAATTCCTTTCCAACTCTGTTGTTCTGTTGTTTACAACTCTAGTAGGACCCAATAAATACCAACTTTATGGTAGATAAAATCAGTTCAGAGTAGAAGCGTACATTGTTAAGGAGCCATTCCTTCCTCCCAACTACTCCATTAAATCAATGAGAGCAAATGATAAAATGGAGAACACCATCCTATTCCAGTGTTGAAATAAGGTCCAGTTATCAGTGCAGTCTGCTTATTATCTGGGTACAATTACAGTCTGGGTACAATTCCTTTTCTTGATTTCTTTTGGCAAAGCACCATAGTCCAGCCCTTCTAAAATAACTTGAATCCTTAAAAGGCTCTATATAAAAAAAAAAAAAAGTCTGAAGATTATACCCTGGATATTTCTAGCCATATTGAAAAAGACATAATCAATTAAATTCTTTTCACAACAAGTTTTGTGTTGAGATGAAACATTCCTCCAGGGATTTCTGTAGGTAAGTCACAAAACCCCAATTCTTAACCCGACAGCTGTTTTCCAAGTTCTGATTCATGAAACCTATGATTATATTTTTAATAAATAAAGCCAGATCATCAGGACAGCATATAAATACCAGTTACTGAGAAAAGCTTCCTAGATCAAGCTGATTTCTTGGTTCTTCTGCTAGTGTTGATACAAAGCAAAGGTAAGACAAGGGTTCTAGAATAATTTAGAATAAGCATCCAAAGCAATTGGATATATTTTAATATGTACCCTCTCTACAATTACATTTTATTTAGTTATATTTAATGATTGTTTGCGATATGGTGACCTCAGTTGCAGATGAAATTTTGGATTCTTTTAACCAGAGATTTGGTTGCTAAAATTAAAAGTCTATAGCATTTGGTCACTCTATTCAAACTTTTTGGAGTTTCCTGAGCCATTCTCTTGTTTATGCTGAATTTCAACCAATCCCAAAAAGAGGCTAATAATGTATCAGACCCAGTAGCCTACCTGTGATTTGTATGAGGGATTGAAAAACTTTTCAGCTAGTGGATAGCTACATCCAACAGCATTTTTTAAAAGTATTAAAATGACTAAAACTTGGCAAGAATACTAACATCTTGAGCTATTATGAGATGTTGGCACTTTGGTTTCAAATCTTGCAAGGTTTTATGATATGACACCAACATCTCATAAATTTTAATGTTCTAATGCTGCAAGAAAAGGCTTATGCTTTTGTAACCTTCTTCTTAGTATTCCTGATTATTTCTTTCAAAAGTGGAGTTGAATCTGCTGTATTGTTGAAGGTAGCAGAGGATTCTCCTATGACTATTTGGTATTTCATAGGACGTTAAAAAATAGTAATATTTCTACTATTAACTATATCTAAAGCTGAGTTTTACAGCAATCACTTTTATTGTTTCGTATTTTATAGAATGTAAAAAAAACCAGATAGAAATAGTATTTCTACTACTAAGAACTACTAGTAAGAACTGATTCAGAGGATATTCAAAGGAAAACCAATTAATAAATTAGTTCCAATGAAGAAAAGGACTGGCAAACCTTGGGAACAACCAAAGATAAAGAGTAACTTGAATTATTTCTTTGTTATACCAGGTTTCCCTACCAACATGAAATTATTGATTCTTGTTGCCTGCCTTCTGAATGTGGCCATCACAGTGCCTGTCCGGGTAAGTAAGAATTGAAACGAAGTCTACCTTAAGCTGATCTGAGCTCCTGGTGATTCCAAAAATAATTTAGGTAGCTTTAAGTTGAAGTAGTTTGTCACTCTCTTTTAGGTTGTTCTCAGTCTAACTTATAACTTTGGGATTTCCCCATTTAAGTTCTTATGATAAGCATTGTTTCTTTAGATAAGACTTATTCAGCATGGTGCCTTCCCAAAATAAGGTAACCCTTGACTTATGACCACAATTGAGCCCCAACTTTCTGTTGCTAAAGTAGATAGTTGTTAAGTGAGTTTTGCCCCATTTTTACGACCTTCCTTGCCACAGTTGTTAAGTGAATCACTGCAGTTGCTAAGTTAGCAACACAGTTGTTAAATGAATCTGGCTTCCCCATTGACTTTGTAGACCCCAGGACACTGTAACAGTCATAAATAAGAACCAGTTGCCAACTGTCCAAAGTTGGATCACATGACCATCGGGATGCTGCAAAGGTTGAAAGTGTAAAAAAACAGTCATGTCACTTTTTTCAGTACCGCTGTCACTTTGAACGGTCACTAAATAAATGGTTGTAAGCTGAGGACTACCTGTATTGACACTACAATGGCAAGTTTTCTGTTGGTTCTGTTGGTGGGAATTATATTCCCAAAATACCTGGTAGAACCCAGGTTATAAGGAAGGTTGAACAAGAACAACTTGATATTGTAATTGTCTCTGTATGATAAACAATCATAGTCACTTTTTTTTACTCAGTGGAAAGTGCAACAGAATATAATCACAGCCATTTAGGCTGCTTGACACATGGTGCCCTTCCACAACACTACATATTACTTTAGGTGAGAAAGAACTATGAACACCTTCAGGTGTACAATTTATCTACTATACATGTGAAAGTAAACCAACATTGATACGTTCTCCCTGATACCTGTATGCAATAGGTGCTCTGTATTCTTGCTTGGATGGTGTTCAAAATACAAAACATACAAACGCCCTAATCTAGTCATTGTTGTTTTTAAACAGCATCTATATGAATGGGTGGAATCCTATAAAACAGAAGGCTAGGTAGAAGGATTATATTCCCCATACAATTGACAAGCATAACATAGATGGCAAGAACACAAAAGCCAGAATCCCACTAAGTTCAGGGTGTTAACCTGGGGTAAATCCAGAGCCTTGAAAACCAAAGAATTAGGTTAACCTAATTTCCAAAGCACCCAAAGGCAGGAAAAGAAGCAATGGATGGAAACTAATGAAGGAGAGAACCGATCTAGAATTAAGGAGAAATTTCCTAACAATGAGAACAATTAATCAGTGGAAGATCTTGCCTTCAGAAGTTCTGGATTAGGAGTTTTTTAAGAAGAAATTGGACAGCCATTTGTCTGGAATGGTATAGGGCAGTGGTGGCGAACTTATGGCATGCATGCCAGAGGCGGCACTGAGAGTCCTCTCTGTGGGCACGTGCGCCATTGCCTCAGCCCTGCTTTCCCCTGCAGCCCCCTCCTCATCAGCAGCCCCCTCGGAGGAGAGTCGCCCCTGAGCACAGCCCGCATGGAGCAGCGCAGCTGAGCACATGACAGCCCAGCAGCGGGGACAAGACTCCGCCCTCGCACCCCATCACACACAGTTGATGCTGCAGGGCGCGGGCAGAGGATGTAGCTGCTATGGCACTGCCGGGCCACCTGGGCGATCAGCGGACTGTGGAGTCGGTGGGTGGGACTGAGGGTGGGCAGAGCAGGGGGTGGAGTGGGGCAGGGGGCGCAAGGTGGGGGCGGGGATGATTTTTGGGCACTCGGTCTCTAAAAGGTTCGCCATCACTGGTGTAGGGTCTCCTGCTTGAGCCAAGGGGTTGGGCTAGAAAACCTCCAAGGTCCCTTCCAACTCTGTTATTCTGTTAACTATGAGTGTCTGTGCTGAACATAAAGGCTACTCTTGTGATGAAGGAGCAGGTGTGGGGGATGGGCAACTAGGTTAGACAAGGCATGTTGAGTTACTCTGAGAACTTAGTTTGGATGGTTAGACTACAGGTCATAGTTAATTTAGTGAGCTTCTCCTTGAAACACTTTCCCCCATTACTCAATAATAGGACTGAATTGCCTTTGCAGAGATAAATATTCAAATACCTCATTCCCCATTTGTCTCTCATGAAAAGGTTTAGGATTACATTTTGGTGGGATCTCTATCCAATTGATCTCAATGGGAAAACAGAAATGGTTGCTGCACAAAAATAAGGAGAGGAAAGAAAGTGTTGGATGTAAAGATTGCATCTTATCCTTCCTCACTTCCACATTTATGTTACATCCATTGTACAGAACGTGACATGTCTGCAAAAACAAAAAAAAAATCAGTATTTCTTAGAGCCTGAAAAGTCTGTGAAGTTGCAATCAGAAACCATGGAAAAAACTAGAAAGAGTGTGGTACATCAATGACTAGTCCATGCTTCCTTGTACAGACCACAATGATGACAAGAGCATAATGATATCATATGGTGCTCTTGCCTTCGTGGACATTGATGGTTACACTTGATGAATGATACTAAGCTGCAGTTGTGGGCCTTTAATGGCTTTCCTTACTGAAGGAAAGTTTTGGAGAATCACTGGAAAGACAGAGGCAGATCCTGAATAGGGAACAACATTGCATGAATTTCCCCTCCAAATATGAGTGATTGAGTTTATACATTGTGATTGAATGATCTAATTATCCTCCACAAATGGAGATCAACCTCACAAGATTTATGAATCCCTTTGTATATTGAATGAAGCATCGGTCCAAAAATGAAAATGAAAAAGGAATTAAAAAACCAATCCTTTTCTTCATCTTACAAATAGCATACCAATCGGCAGTGGTGGTGATAAATGTATTTTTTCTTTTGTAAAAATAGAATGGATCTAATCTATATTCTTGAAAATAGGGGAGGGAGCTCATTCCATTTTCCATCATTTTGGTTCTCTACTTACATTTTTTTTAATCCATGAAGGAAAGACACCCATCAAGAGTCACAAAGAAACCAGAAACAGAACATCATGGTGTCAGAAGACGTGTTGAGGTAAATCTCATTTGACCAATTCCTATTTTGTCACAAATGTGTGTGAGAATAAGTTTCACAATACTCCCTTTTTTTTTACATTAGGCATATTCAATCCCTGGCCTGTGAACCCTGGACAGCTAGTAATGTGGCCCCACAAGAAAATATAAAAAATATATTAAAAAGTGAAGTTTGTTATCTATTACTTATTTTATATGTGGCCCAAAGCAATTCCTTTTCATTCAATGCAGCCCAGGGAAGCCAAAAAGATTGGACACCCATGTTGTGTATTGTCCACCTCTAATTGGATTATGGGCTGCAAAAAGGAAAAAGAAATGAAGAAAACTGGGAAACTTGATAGGGGGAAATTCTTGAATAATAAAAGATATTTGCTCACAATCTGATAATAAAGGACTGTTTCCCAAAAGCTAAGTTCTAACTCTATTTTACTGTTTTCACAGAGGTCAGCAAGTGGATCCAGTGAAATGGTAAATTGTTTCTTTACTATAATTTCCTTACAGCTAATGCCTTGGTGTTAGATGAACACGTACCCTGTAATGACTCCTCAGTTGGGGTTATGAAATAGGGAAACACAAATCTGGATAATCACCAGAAGGCAGCAGAGAGAAAACTTTAAACACCATCTAGTGGCCATCTAATTTGCAGCTGAGATCTTGTAGCTTATATTCAGATTCTGAAGGGAGTTTTTAGGATAGCATAAATGTATTTTTATGCTTCCTGTTAGAACAGCCACATTAGTACAGGCTGACAGATTTTTCTCCTTCAAACAGATGTATGTGTTGTGTGTGTGTGTGTGTATGTATGTATGTATGTATGTGTTTATTCATTTCTTTATGTATTTGTGTGTGTGTTTGTTTGTTTATTATAAAAAGCACCAACAATGAACAATGAAATTATCTCAGGGACCAGTCTTAGATTTCAGGGGAAGAATTGGCAAAGATGTAGAGCAGAGGTGGGGAACTATGGCCTCTTTATGACTTGTGGACTTCAACTCCCAGAATTCCTGAGCCAGCCAATTCTGGGAGTTGAAGTCCACAAGTCATAAAAGCGCCATGATGCAGAGCTACTGCCAAAAGATCACTCCTACTCATTAATCTGAAATAGGCCTTCAGAAATGATGGCAGGACCCAGATGAATTCACAGACATGAGGTGACCATTCAAGTAAACTGTACAGAGATTAAAAAGTCAAAACCAGTTTAGAACGAGCCCAGAAATGTAAAGGCAACCAAAATAACTGGTACATAATCCCCTAGAATAATGTTCCTCAATCTTGGCAACTTGAATATGTGTGGACCTCAATTCCCAGAATTGCCCAGCCGGCTTTGCTGGCTAGGGAATTCTGGGAGTTGAAGTCCACACATCTTCAAGTTGCCAAGGTTAAGAAGACTGCTCTAGAATCCTGTAGAATCCTAACTCACTGAGAAGAATGAAAATGGTGCTGTTATATTTCCACAGCGCATGACTCGCTTCATAGTCCCTCGACAACAGCAAGCAGATATACCTCCAGTACCTCCAGTACCAAACATACCTCCTATACCAATACCGGTAAGATCATCACGATTTTATCTGTAAAGACTACACTGATGGTACCTTTCCATTCCAATGACATAAGTTGTACTTAACAAAGCAGAAGAATCGACTTCCATATTCAAACATGCTTCACACATTATAGATGACAAAGGCTACTAGTGACAGCAGGATGTTGTTCTGTGATGATCTTGGCAGATCAAGGACGAGATTCTCCAGACATGATGCAAATAGAGCCTGACAATATTTTCTATTTTAGCCTTCCCCATCGCATTTGAGAACCTGCTTCTTTTGTAGACCTGGTCAAAACCTTTTCAGCTAAAGAGCTGCCAATCCAGATGCTTTGACAATATTTATAAGAAAATGTTTCTGTCCAGGGACAGATCATTCAGAAGGTCTAATTACAGAAAAGCAGATGTCCACTGATTTATGGCCCACTTGGGATCTGAGGTCCACTCCATCAGTGTGCTAAGATTTGTACACCATTGCTATCGCTAGATGGCACTGTAATATAAGTAACTCACACTGAGCAAGTTCACGATAACTTTTCTAAGTCAGATTCCATCTGTACTGTGAAGGATGGAGGAGAGAGACAGAGACAGAGAAAAATTGCTCAGCATTTTGCTAAGGAGTGTTTTGGCAATTTGTAAGCAACTTAATTGACAATGTGTATTCAACTGCCATTACTCTGGTGGACAGAGACAGGATCGATTGCCAAGAAAATAGGCCAATGAATGTTATTGGGTATGAAGAAGAATGCAGGTAGTCCTCGACTTATGACTACAATTGAGCCCCGAATTTCTGTTGCTAAGTGAGAAATTTGTTAAGTGAGTTTTGCCCCATTTTACGACTTTTCTCGCCACATTTGTTAAGTGACTCACGGCAGTTCTTAAATTAATAACATGGTTGTTCAGTGGATCTGGTTTCCCCATTGACCTTGCTTGTCAGAAGGTTGCAAAAGGGAATCACAGGACTCCGGGACAACCATCAAAATTGTGAGTCAATTTTCAAGCATGTAAATCATGTGACCATGGGGATGCTGCAACGGTCATAAATGTGAAAAATGGACATAACTCACTTTTTCAGCATCCTTGTAACAGTCACTAAATGAACTGTGGTAAGTCGAGGACTGCCTGTAAGTCCTATTTTATGCTCTTGTGCAGTGGTGGGATTCAAATATATGAACAACCAGTTCTCTGGATACCGCTTCTGGAAGTCCGTTCTGGGCCTGGGAAACAAGAAATTAGCTACCAGTTCTGCTGAACTAGTGCGAACTGGCTGAATCCCATCACTGGTCTTGTGTTTTATATGACTGATTTCTATATTCATTTGATCTTCCAGGTTCCTGTACCAATACCACTTGACCCAACTGCGGTATGTGATAATTCAATCATGGGGGGGGGGTGGAGGAGGAAGAGGGACAAAGGTTCAGATGAGAATCTTTCACCAGCTTCAAAATTGTGCCATCCAAATCACATGACTTTCAACAATTGACTGATTAAACATACAAGTTATTATTACATTTTATGGAATTGCTCCTCAAAGGATCTAGAACAGTGTTTCTCAACCTTGACAATTTTAAGGCATGTGGACTTCAATTCCCAGAATTCCACAGCCAGCAATTCCTTTGAGAAACACTGATCTAGAAAGTCAATGCCATTTCCTAGTTCTTTGCCTACCCTGCAGGGCACAATTCATGTATCCAAAAAATGTAGCATTCAGAACAAAATGGCAGCATGGCTTAAATCAGAGGGGCGCAGCAGTAGGAAGCATACCGAACTGACTGATATGTATCTGTTTTCTTTAGATAAATGCTGCAGGGATGCCGATAGCTCAATACCTAGTAAGACAATTTATCATTATTCATTTTGCATTATTTCTATCTAGGCTGGCATGTAGAAAAGTTAAGCATTTCTGCAAATTTACAACAGTCTGCTACAAGAACCTGAATAGGTTTGTAGTACTGTTAGGTCTTCTCCTTAAAAAGTTTGAGTATTCTGTAGACTTGAGTCTCCAACCTTGGTAACATTAAGACCTATGGACTTCAACTTCCAGAAATCCCCAACCAGCCATGCTGGCAGGGGAATTCTGGGAGCTGACGTCCACAGGTCTTAAAGCTACCAAGGTTGGAACACTGCAATTTCAACAATTCAAGAGGATGCCAAGCTGGAAAATCAGTGGTCGTAAACCCCTTCCACATTGTACAATGGAAGTTCCCAGGCTCCCTGAATAGAGAAAATAATTCACCAAAACTAGATGGGCAGAACATAGTTAAATTTTCCCACTTTGGGTTGAATTTCTACTGGAGTAATTTCCACATAACTTATATCAAAAAAATTCTATTAGTTTATCAGAATATTAAATACAAAGGAAAAAAATTCCACATAACTCATGACCATAGAGGGAAAGATTTAATTCTTCTAGTTGTTGTATATGTCTAAACTCATACAGAGCCTTCTCTATCTCTATAGAGATTTGCTTCCGGGTCCAATTCAAGGTGCTGGTTGTCACCTTCAAAGCCCTACATAGCCTCGGATCAGGTTATTTGAAGGACTGTCTTTTCCCGGTCACAACTAACCAACCCACCAGAGCGGGAAGGCAGGGAATGCTACGGGTCCCCTCTCCTAAGGAGATCCATCTAGCAGGACCAAGAAGAAGGGCATTCTCCGTGGTGGCTCCCTCCTTGGAACATCATCCCCACAGAGATAAGATTGGCCCCACTTTGACACTGTTGCTCAAGGCTCTGAAAACCTGTTTTTGCCAACAGGGCTGGGAAACCCAGAGTGGGATGGAGCCCATCAAATGGCTCATTTGATTGTTATCGCCAGAGGGGTGGGGATGTGTGTATTACTTTTTATTGTTTTTATAGCAATAGCATGTAGGTTTATTGTGTATATCGCCCCATTGTGCTTTACCGCACTCTCTGAGCGGGTTACAATGTCAGCATATTGCCTCCAACAATCTTATTTTAGCCTTGTAAGTTGCCCGGAGTCACTGAGAGTGAGTTGAGTGTCCATATAAATACAAACAAACAAACAAATAAATAGCAGTTGTAATTACTGGTTTCAAAAGCTGATTATCTACCGCCCATCTATGTCATCTCAGACTTTCCAAAAAGGCACGCAGAGCAGAGGATAAGATTCAGCTTAGCTAAAGCAAATTACCAGGGCTAAGTGCAGTACAAAAATAATGAGGCCATGGTCATTAATAAGGGAACTGATTGTATACTTGCATAAATGAAGAGGTTGTTTCCTTGTTATTTACATTTTCCCAACCTGAAACTTGGCACTGATAACAGATGCTGAGTCCTAGCTTTAACTCAACTAACAGCACCCATTAATTTTAATAAGCTGAATAACATAGTTAGAATTTAAATCTGAAGAGGTGCCTCAGAATAAATTGAAACGTATTTCTTCCATTAGATTAGGTGACATGCCAAGTTTCTGAAAGATTATTGAGCCCCACAAAATCCATGTGGCAGCTCAGTTACTACACGTGGGAGGTGAAGTGGTTATATTTGCCTGAACTTGTACTGTATAGGGTGAAAGGATTACATTTGTCTAAAATGGTATACGGTCCCCAGCTTGAGCAGGGGGTTGGACTAGAAGACCTCCCTTCCAACTCTGTTATTCTGAATGTGAATGCTTATGCCTGGTCCTACTTCATGTGATTTGGAATTTCCCCCCTCTTTCCTTGCTTTTCACTAGGTTCCAGCACCTGCTCAGGTAAGACCAATGCTCTTCATTCAGTCATCTTTCAATCGTGAAGTTCTGAAGGCCTAGGACAGGCGTAGGCAACCTTGGCTCTTTTATGACTCGTGGACTTCAACTCCCAGAATTCCTGAGCCAGCCATGCTGAGGGGAAAGGGAGAGGTTTCCATCTGAGCCATGGTGGCTCAGGAATTCTGGGAGTTGAAGTCCATGAGTAATAAAAGAGCCAAGGTTGCCTATCCCTGGCCTAGGAGTTCTAAAGTCCCAGAGCACCTTGTCTTTTTAAGAACAGTGTGACATCTAATTGCCAAAACACTACTGTGTATCTGTAGATGTAGATACAGATTAGATCAGTGGTTCTCAACCTGTGGGTTGGAACCCCATTTGGGGTCGAAAGACCATTTCACGGGGGTCGCCAAACAAGGCTGTCCGCCATTTTTTCCCCCTTTTCTTTGGCCACGCCCCTGGCACCCGGTGATGTATAAGTGGTTGGGGGTCACCACAACATGGGGGACTGTATTATGGGTCGCGGCATTAGAAAGGTTGAGAACCACTGGATTAGATATATATATAGATATATAGATGTCTTTTAAAATACTAAAAATGCGAATCCTGGGCATTATGCTAACAAATAAAAGAAAAAACGAACACCAGGATATAATAAACTAGCCTGTTTAATATAAACAAGTCTGTGGTTAAGAAGAGTCACTAAGCTTTCATCCGGCCAAAAACTGCTGGCGTCATCAGAGTTAGAATAGCAGATCGGGAAGGCAGCTCATATAGCCTCCTGCCTCTGCGCCCGGCTCCTTGAGGGCGTCATCGGCCTATTGATTGTATTACTCCGTATCGCGCATAAATAGATGTAGATATAGATTAGATAGATATATATAGATATAGATGTAGATATAGGTATAGATTAGATAGATATATAGATATAGATATAGATGTAGATATAGGTATAGATTAGATAGGTATATAGATATAGATGTAGATATAGGTATAGATTAGATAGGTATATAGATAAAGACAGTGCTTTTTTTCTAAAAAAAAAAAAAAAGGTGCCAGAACTCACACACATCATACAACTCGCCTTGCCTACCCTACAAGGTTCCATCCAAAAAAGGTGCCGGAACTCCGTTCTGGGCGTTCTATAGAAAAAAAGCCCTGGATATAGATATAGATGTAGATGTAGATAGATATAGATATATAGATATAGATATATAGATATAGATATATAGATATATAAATATAGATATACAGTAGATATAGATATAGACATAGACACAGATACAGATATATAAAAAACTAGATGGCTTAAGCAGCTAAAGACCAGCTGTGCATGGGGGGGGGGGGAGAAGAGTATCTCCTGGCCCATGTGCCAAAGTGTCCTCAGAGATTCTTCTGTGCTAGAGATCCAGTTGTATAGGATAGATCCAGGGGCATTTGCTGTACCAGCTAAGCTTGTCTGAAACTCTCTTATATATTACAGGACCCTTGCATTGCCATTCAAAGCAGTGACTAGTTTGTGCTGTTGTTGTATTACATTTCTATCTTGATTTCCCTGACAACCCTAAGCAGCTTTCATGGGTGACAGGATGGGGGGGGTATCTTCTTTCTACAACATAGTGAGATGGGCTGGGCTATATCACGGTCCCCTAGTTTGGGCTTTGTTGAAGCTTTGCTGCCAAGACATTTTGAGTGTGGCTGGTGCTAAGTGTGCACAAGAGGAGAATGAAGCCAGTTTTGTTGATTGTCCTTCTGTCTAGACACTCTCTGCCCTTTTAATGTGACACCTCTTTACACCACCTTTCCCAAGACTTAACAGACAATCTTGCTTGGAGTTCCTCCGACTTGAGGCTAGGCAACAATTTACAGGTAATCCTCGACTTAAAACATTTAGGGACCGTTCTAAGTTACAACAGCACTGAAAGAAGTGATCTTTTTTCACATTTACGACGGTTACAACATCCCCATGGTTACACCATCAAAATTCGGATGCTTGCCACTCACTCATGATGGTTACAGTGTCCCGTTCATATATTATGTGATCACCTTCTGTAATCTTCCAACAAGTGGAGTCAATGGGGAAGCCAGATTCATTTAACAACCATGTTACTAACTTAACAGTTGCAGTAATTCACTTAACCAGTGTGACAAGAAAGATCGTAAAATGGGGCAAAACTCACTTAACAAATATCTCACTTAGCAACAGGCATTTTGAGCTCAATGGTGGTCATATGTCGAGGATTACCTGTATGGTGAATATAAGCAGCACTCCTGTTTTGGAAAATTCTAGCTCTCAATATAATTGCTATAGACCAGTGATGGGGAACCTTTTAGACACCAAGTGCCCAAAAACTGGCCCCACCCCCATTCTACTCCTTGCCCTGCCCCTGCTCTGCCCCCACCCCCTCCCCCTCCCCGCCTGCCCGCAGGGTCACTCACCACCTCCAGGGCCCGTTGCAGATCGCCAGGCAACCCAGCAGCGGCATGGCAGCCACGCCCTCTGCCCGCGCCCCACAACATCAACTGTGCACGATGGGGCGTGAGAGCGAAATCTTGTCTACGCTGCCTGGCTGCCATGTCCTTAGCTGTGCTGCTTCGCGTGGGCCATGCTTGAGGGCGATTCTCCTCCAGGGGGGCTACTGGTGAAGAGAGGGCTGCAGGGGAGGCGAGGCTGGGGCAATAGCATGTGTGCCCACAGAGAGGGCTCTGAGTGCCACCTCTGGCATGCGTGCCATAGGTTCGCCACCACTGCCAAAGACCGAGACATCAATGGCTCAGAGCCACTGAGGTAGGGGCACAGCCTTTACACATGAAAGGGGCTTCAGATTATTAATTAAACCCTGTGATGGGAATTCAAAATACTATACTGATTTTGTGTTTCTTATTTTCCTTTGACCTTCTATCTCTTTTAGTTTTACCCTGGATTTCCTGGAATGGCGGTAAGATCTGCATTGCCGCATACTCAGGTTACTAAGATCCAAGATTCTATTCATACAATGTCATATTATCCATCAGTCCAATGAGTAGGATGGACTTTTTAGTTAGGAATGAAAGATATCCAGCAAAGGTGTGGAAAAGGGAAGATGGGTTAAAAAAAACGAGACAACTTCTGAAATGCAAATTTTTGTGCATAAGTTTTAAGTCCTACAGCCGCCCAAAGAGATATTTAGTCCAACATTACAGAGCCTCATTTCAAATTAATGGCAATCTTTTCCAGACCACATGGCATTTTATAGTGACCTTGAGACAGTGGTGGGATTCAAATATGTGAACAACCGGTTCTCTGTGTGGATGCCACTTCTGGAAGTCCACTCTGGGCCTGGGCAACAAAAAATTACCAGTTCTGCCGAGCTGGTGCGAACTGGCTGAATCCCACCATTGCCTTGAAATCATTTCTTGCTTTCCTAAACATACCTACAGTTTTGTGAGAGCAGGTTGGAAGTTATTTTTGGTGTCCTCAGGACCTCCAGATGGTTCAAAACAAGGTCTGGTACTCTAATTCTTTCCTTACTACTAATATACTGTATGTATAAAACAGCTAGAGGAGGAGACAATGGTATGATGAGGAAAGTACTTAATTAAAAGGGAGGATGACTTTCGTAAGGGGGGGGGAAGCATGTGAAATGCAAGGTACATAATTTGTCGAGAACAGGCACTCCCAGTAGAGCGTTTTTGTCAGAATGGGAATGGAATGCAGGTCAACCACATTAATTAGTTTACTAAAAAATACTTGCTGCAATAATCTAACATGTACTCTTTTCCTAGGGCTTTCCACCTATCCTAGGGGTAAGTAGTTTATGTTATTTTACATAAAACTCACGTCCTTGTCCTTATCCAGCTTAAACAGTGCTAGAAACAGTGCAGATTCCCAAGGGATGACCATGTAACCATTCCATCCAAACTCCTACTCCTCTTACTGAAGCAAGTGTTCTCCAATACTTTCACATACAGCTTTATCTTATGGTACAGGTAGTCCTCCACTTACGCCCACAATTGGGATCAACTATTAAGCAAGGTGATTGTTAAGTTCTGCCCATATTTTTTTGCCATTGCTGTTAAGCCACATCGCTGCAATTGTTAAGTGAATCACACGGTTGTTAAGTGGATCCAGCTTTGCCCATTGTTGGAAGCCGACTAGGAAGGTTTCAAAGGGCAATCACAGGCCCCCAGGATATCTCAACCATCATAAACACATGCTAGTTGCCAAGCACCCAAATTTTAATCACATGACCGTGAGGATGTTGTGACGGTCTTAAGTGCAAGGACCAGTCGTAAGTCACTTTTTCAGTGCCGTTGTAACTTTGAACAGTCCCTGAATGAATAAATAGTTCTGGTAGCTGAATGACAATATCATGCTAGCACAAGCATTTCCCACCATTTCCCAATTTCTATGCAGGAAAAGTGATGTCTTGAAGGCCAGCAATTTTGCCTTTGTACCAACAGCTGAGACTTTTCTGGCCAGACACATAGAATAGGAATAGACTTGGAAGGGACCTTGGAAGTCTTCTAGTCCAACCCCTCTGCTCGAGCAGGAAACCCTATACCATTTCAGACAAATGGTTGTCCGTAGTGGACAATCATTTAAATATGAGCCAGCAGTGTGCTGCAGCTGCCAAAAAAGCCAACACAGTGCTAGGCTGCATTAACAGAGGGATAGAATCAAGATCACGTGAAGTATTAATACCACTTTACAATGCCTTGGTAAGGCCACACTTGAAATACTGCATCCAGTTTTGGTCATCACAATGTAAAAAAAGATGTTGAGACTCTAGAAAGAGTACAGAGAAGAGCAACAAAGATGATTAGGGGACTGGAGGCTAAAACATATAAGGATCGGTTGCTGGAATTGGGTACGTCTAGTTTAACAAAGAGAAGGACGAGGGGGGACATGATAGCAGTGTTCCAATATCTCAGGGGCTGCCACAAAGAACAGGGAGTCAAGCTATTCTCCAAGGGGCCTGAAGGCAGGACAAGAAGCAACAGATGGAAACTAACCAAAGAGAGAAGCAACCTAGAAGTAAGGAGAAACTTCCTGACAGTTAGAACAATTAACCAGTGGAACAACCTGCCTTCAGAAGCGGTGAATGCTCCAATACTGGAAGTTTTTAAGAAACTGGACAGCCATTTGTCTGAAATGGTATAGGGTTTCCTGCCTGAACAGGGGGTTGGACTAGATGACCTCCAAGGTCCCTTCCATCATCATCATCATCATCATCATCATTATTATTATTATTATTATTATTATTATTATTATTATAGGATGGGGTTAAAAGCTAGCAATGTATTCCTCCAATCCCCCTCCAAAAGAAAAAATGCGAAGCAAGAGAATTTTAGAACTAGTTCTGATTTAATGGTGATATGCGCACTCTTGATCTAGGAGCAATGATTGGTGCTTGGTTTGCCTTCCCAACCCTCCGAGATAAGCAGAGGCAATCCAATTCCTTCAACATTCCTTGGGGGAGAAGGGAGGACTGGGAAATGAAAATGGGGGCAATGCCCCAATTTTGCAAGCATCTCTTTAGTCCTTGTTGCACTTGTAGAATATTGTAATAATACAACCACTCACAGCTTAATTTCTAAAGTCTCAGACAGGAGAGGATTAAAACCTGTAGACTATTTAAGGCATGTAACCCAAGCACTTGCATGGTAGCATTTCCATAGCATCTTTCCATAAATGCAAAATGCAAACCGGCCTTCTCCAACCAGGTGTCTTCCCAAATGGCTTGGATGAGAAACCCTAACTGTCCCACAGAGTATCCCGGCTTGGGGAAAGCTAACCGCTTGGAAGATCTTCCTGGACCTCATCAGCTATGACCATAGCATCCAGGTGAAGCTTTCCCAGCCCTCTCCCCCTCCCCACCATCTCAAACAGGGAGCTGTGGTTGCAGGTTTTCAGAAAGGACAAAAGATTATGAGTAAGGATTGTGGTGCATAAGGATAGGATACCTTTTTTTTTTTTTAACCTAAAACAAAGATCATCTACTAAAGACAGTGAACGCTAATCTATATGTTGACCTTTATTGTGAGAAATAAAAAATTACATTTTTTTTCAACAGTAATAGAATTCTTGCAGATATGGAGTCTCTTGGTACGTATCAAATATTCTTTGGTATTCAGTTATATTCTTTGATTGTTTTATTAAATGTTTAATGTCCACAAGATTTGACAGAGAACTTAAAATTGGGGAAGGTATCATTTTTAGGACCAAATCTCTATCTCTGTCTGTCAGTCTATCTTTCTCTGTCTGTTTGTCTGTCTGTCCATCCATCCATCCACCCTCTATCTATCTATCTATCTATCTATCTATCTATCTATCTATCTATCTATCTATCTATCTATCTATCTATCTATCTATCTATCTATCTATCTATCATCTATCTATATCATTTATATCATGTATCTATCAATCTACCATCTGTCATGTCCATCCATTTCTATCTATCTATCTATCTATCTATCTATCTATCTATCTATCTATCTATCTATCTATCTATCTATTTCTATCTATCTATATCTAATCTATCATCTATCATCATAGTATTTTACCTTCACCAGGAGAATACTTAGATTTTTCAGAGATTTGAATTTTCAGAGACTTGTTTGTGAATAACCAGTTTGCAATATTCATGCCTAAAATGATTGTTGTTTGTGAAGACAAACAAAGCATATAGCGTTAGATCCCAAGAATCTGCTTCAATACAGTTCTCCACTGCAAGAAAATGTGCAATATGAAGATACTTTAGGAATGGCCCGAGTTTCCATATTTTGCTGGCAGAAATTTTGCCAGAAATTGAATCTGGTATCTTGTGCATGCTCAAACAATGAGTAGTACTCCAGCCATATAATGGTCGGGTATGTACCCACCCTGCTTCTTCACCTTCACACCATTGCCTATCACTGCAGTGAAGCTATACCTAGATGTCTGAGCCTTCAGTTCTCATAATCCATCACTTAATTCTGGAATTTGAAGTTCAATCCATCTGAAAAGCACCAGCTGATGGAAGGCTAGATTACAAGTAAAATCATTCCAGAATTGTTTGTTGTATTATATATATCATGTGTCATAGGGAAACTATACTTGTAATTTGGAACCGTGTGAACAAAACCTTTGCTGCTTAGATGCTGCACTGTAAAACTCAAGTGCTCAACTATAAAATCTGTTTTGATTTCTAAAGGTGTCAATGAAAACGTGAGAGAGATCATCCAAGAAGACTTACCTATTTCTAATTTCCTGCTACAGTTGCCAACCACAGCTTTAGTGCATTCTAAATGTCATATTTACTCTAAATGTTTTTAAAAAATTGTCTTCATTTCATTGATAACAATGTACATTTCCATTGTGAAGTTACGTTCTTTATGATATGCAAAACCATCTAATAAGGCAATGATTGGTAAAATGCAGAATACTTTCATCTCACTTATGGAGTTTTTAAAAGAAACCCTAAGCTTTGATTTTCCAATCTATCTGAGTTCATTTGATTAAAATGTCTCACAGCTTCCAAGCTAATATATTGTGTTCTGTTTATTGCACAAATGCATTACCTCTCTAATAAAAAATGCCTAAGTAAATAATACAAACCAGTGTAGTACATTTATGTTTATAGAACTGAAATTAAGAGCATTTATTCTTTTTGAAGCAAAAAGAAATGTGCTAGCTTTTAGTTTTCACATTTTTACTGCTCCTGTTCATTGCATCATCCGTAGCAGTTCACAAAAGCCTAACCACAACATAATGTCAAGTCAGTAACCTAGCGCAAATTTAGAAATGTTTTTATTCTCAAAAGACACACATTTAAGCTGTTCAATGGGCTCCTACAATGTCTTGAGCTGACTGTTTACATTATAGATATTTTTTTTTAATGAGAAACTGGAATGCTTTGGTTTCCATGTTATTTTTATTCCTAGAAATGGCATCTGGATCTCATATCCTTAAATTTTAGCGGGTGAGAGAATTGAAGATAGCTGCAGCCTGAAGCTTTCCTTAAGACGGCCTACTTTCTCAGAAAAAAAAAGGAAAAATAAACGGTAGATAGTAGGAAACATCCTCTAGGAGAGGAAAGTTAGGGAAGGTAGCAAGAAAAGAATGGTTAAACTGAGGCTCCACAATGTGTTGTCTGGTTGATAATCATTTTGTAAAGGGATTATCTCCTCAAGTATCTGAAAGAATACCCAGTTATTCTTAGAATGTCAAATGTTTCCTGTCAATCTGGACCTCTGAAGTATCAATTCCCAGAATATAAAGAGTATTCTCCTTATAATGGAATAATCGTCCAGTACATTAGAAATCAGGGATTCAAAACTTCCCTTTGTCTATTGCACCACCAAATGAAGATAAAACACAGAGCAATGAATTAAGCCATATTTCATGTTATGGAAAACAGCACTGCAGTGAAAATAACAGTGTCCATAAGGAATGGAAACAGCAACTTTAAACACAAACTCCTCAAGAAAAGCTAAGTTGTACTTTATGCTAACAATGCTTATGGCACCCTAGTTTTTCCTGCGTCGGTGATTTGCTGTGACTCTTTCACTTAGTGACATTTCTGGGATGTTTCCAAGGCATAAAAGTCATTCATTCATAGCCCAGAGGAATAAACAATAGTACAATGTCTCATAAATTGGACTCAGTGGAGCTGAATTTTTGAGCGTTTCCAACAAGTTCAATAGGAATGAATGCAGTTCAAAGAACAGTGCAGGTAGTCCTCGACTTACAACAGTTCATTCAGTGACCATTTGAAGTAGCCGAGGTGGCGTAGCAGTTAAAACTGCAGTACTGCAGGCCACTTTAACTGACTGTGTACAGCAGGTCAGCGGTTCAAATCTCATCGGCTCAAGGTTGACTCAGCCTTCCATCCTTCTGGGGTAGGTAAAATGAGGACCCAGATTGTTGGGGGCAATGTATATATATATATATATATATATATATATATATATATATATATATATTATATAGGTCTTTGGTTGTTCGGGTTTTCTCCCGCGTAAAATTTTACGCGGGAGAAAACCCGAACAACCAAAGACCTACACACACATATATATATATATATATATATATATATATATATATATATATATATATATATATATACATACATACATACATACATACATACACACATATTGCTTACTGGTGTACACCGCTTAGAGAGTGCTTGCACTTAAAGCGGTATATAAGTCTCATAAATAAATAAATAAATAAATAAGTTACAACTGCACTGAAAAATGTGACTTATGACTATTTTTCACACCTACGACCATTGCAGCATCTCCATGGTCACATGATCAAAATTCTGACATTTGGCAACTGACTCGTTTATGAAGGTTGCCGTGTCCAAGGGGTCACACAATCACCTTTTGCGACCTTCTGACAATCAAGGTCAATGGGGAAGCCAGATTCACTTAACAACCATGTTATTAACTTAACAACTGCAGTGATTCACTTAACAACTGTGACATGAAAGGTCATAAAATGGGGCAAAATTCACTGGACATCTGTCTCACTTAGGAACAGAAATTTTGAGCTCAATTGTGGTTGTTAGTTAAGTGCTATCTGTATTCCCATTAGGATTTCCAAGCTGTCTTTCAATTACTAAAGCAATTTGCTCTTGAATATCAGGGGACTTTTCACAGCAACGATCACATAAAAAAATGTCTTTCAAAGGAAGAAAACGCACTGTGGATGTGCAAAGAGCAATTTTTAAATTGAGGAAAATTCTAAGCAAACCACAGGAGTACTTCACGTTAAATGTTATGTGCCCTTGTGCTGGGATTTAAATAGAATATTTCCTTCAATTCTACCTAATCTTTCTTGTTCATCTTTTTTTTTTCACTGACAGTAGGATCAATGTGTTAAAATGAAAGCAGTTATGATTATATAATCCCCCAACAACAGTAATGAATATTAAATCAATTGAGATTATGCCTCAGAAATAAAATGTGGAATTGGGTTTGTTTTCTGATATGCATGCATATCACTGCAACTTTATTTGCCTTACAGTATAGGTCAGTGGTGGCAAACCCAGCCTCGCCTCCTCCCGCGACCCCCTTCTCTCCAGCAGCCCCCCTGAAGGAGAGTCCCCTGAGCATGACCCACCCAGAGCAGCGTAGCCAAGGAAATGGCAGCCAGGCAGCGTAGACAAGACTCTGCCCTCACACCCCATCGTGCACAGTTGATGCTCTAGGGCGCGGGCAGAGGGCGTGACTGCCATAGCGCTGCTGGGCTGCCTGGGCGATCTGTCGCGGGCCCTGGAGGCAATAAGTGCCCTGCGGGCAGGTGGGGTGGGGGATGGGGAGGTGAAGCAGGAGCAGGGCAGGGGGTGGAGTGGGGACAGGCCCAGTTTTTGGGCACTTGGTCTCTAAAAGGTTCGCCATCACTGGTATAGGTAGTACTTGACTTACAACAGTTCATTTAGTGATTGTTGAAACTTACACTGAAATAGGTGACCTACGACTGTTTTTCACATTGTTGCAGCATCCCCATGGTCACATGATCAAAATTCAGATACTTGGCAATTGATTCATATTTATGACAGTTTCTGTGTCCTGGGATCATGTGATCAGCTTTTGTAATCTTCTGACAAGCAAAGTCAATGGGGAAGCCAGATTCACTTAACAACCATGCTACTAACTTAATAATTGCAATGGCTCACTTAACAACAGTGGCAAGAAAAGTCATAAAATGGGGCACAATTCAACAGATGTTTAACTTAGCAACATAAGTTTTGAACTCAATTGTGGTCATAAACTGACTACCTGTATTATCCTAGAATTATATGAGAAGATAAATTAGTGTTATCCTGCAAAGTTTCTTGCTATCGGTAACGAAAAAAGATGAGAAACTGAAGGATGCTAATGTCCACTATAAAATCAGTCAGTTGCTATCTAATCAGCAAAACATTTTTAGGGCCCGAGAACTTCAGAGATTTTTGGCAGCTGTAAATATCATCCTACTATATTACCGGAGAACCAGAAATAACACAATTTTATTCATTTATTTTCTGTACAGAAAAGATATGCAACAGATGCACCTAATACTTCAGTAGTATCACGTGATTTAAAAGGCGTAATGTAACCAAAACTGAACATTTTTAAGTTCCAATTATTTCAATTTAAGAATGTCAGAATATGTGTGAAATCTTGGAGCATTAAATCATACACCACCAATGTCCTAAAAAGCATTTTCTTCCCACTCTCCTACTAAATTACCATCTGAAATGATAGGATTTCATTTATGGTTTGATGTTAGTCCCATCGTGGCCACAAAAGTTAATCTTCCTTCCAGTGTGCTCCTCTTTTTTCTGCTACAAACCTGACAAAGTCAGAGTGGCAGGCGTATAGTGTAAGTTTTTCACTGATATCCACCCATTTGACTTTCCCAGCGTCGTCTCCTGCTTCCAGATGCAAATTATTCATTGCTTCACCTAGGAATACAAAAAGAGACATTATGCAATTCATTTGGCTTCTTGCCTCTTTTTAATTCTACAAAATGAGCCGACACTTCATTTGCTTCTTCCAATCCGTAAAAGGCTTCTACCAAAAAGCATGGAACCAAGCAACATTATTGTTGCTGAATCTTCTGTTATGACTGAACTCTCTTAGAGCAGGGCTGGGGAACGATGGCGCTTTATGACTTGTGGACTTCAACTCCCAGAATTCCTGAGCCAGGCATGCTGGCTCAGGAATTCTGGGAGTTGAAATCCACAAGTCATAAAGGGGCCATCGTTCCCTACCTCTGTCTTAGAGCTAGTAGGATTTTTTTGATGATGGATCGCCTGTCAATTATCCTCCAAAATCATACTCCGTAGGAAGAGCCATAACCCTGTAGCAGAGCATATGCTTTGCCACAAGAGATCCTGAATTCAATCTCTGACATCCTAACCTGAATTAGGGTCCTATCTAAAATACAGGATAGTCACTACAGGTAGTCCTTGACTTATAGCTATTTGTTTAGCGACCATTCGAAGTTACAACAGCATTGAAAAAAGTGACTTATGACTGTTTTTCACATTTATAACTATTGTAACGTCCCCCTGGTCGTGTGATCGAAATTCAGATGCTTGGCAACTGGCATGTAGTTATGATGGTGGCAGTATCCTGGGATCATGTGATCCCCTTTTGCGACTGTCTGACAAGCAAAGTCAATGGGAAAGTCAGATTCATTCAACAACCATATTACTAAGATAAAAACTGCACTTATTCATTTAACAACTGTGGCAAGAAAGGTCATGAAATGGGGCAAAAGTCCAGAATGGGACAATTCGTCACAGTCAATTCATTGTGGGGCAATTCAACAATTCAATTTCATTACTTAAAGTAATTTTTAAAAGTGTTTTAATTTTTGTCACTCACGTTACATTTGGCATCCTTTTGTTTAACGATTCCATTCCACCATTTCTTCTCTTGTCCTGTAGTGAGTTATCCTAGATCAGTAGTGGCGAACCTATGGCATGCATGACAGAGGGGGCACTCAGAGCCCTCTCTGTGGGCACACATGCCATTGCCCCAGTCCTGCCTCCCCCATGGTCCCACCAGCAGCCCCCCGGAGGACAGTCGCCCCCGGGCACGGCCCACATGG